TTTCAGCTAAACAATAGAGCACTTACTGTGAGGGAGTGGAAGGGAGGAGTTATCACAGTGTTATTTCATAGTATCTTTCCTAGACCTGAAACATCAGTATGATAATACTTTTCCACATTCTCAATGATGCTTTTGAATATTGGTTCACTGTTGTATATAGGAGGGAGAGACAGGGTGGGTACATATGGGGGGGGCGAGAAGGGGGTGTATTTTTATAAAGAATAATTTTGGTAGGAATTTCTTATCCAAAATTCTGGAGGTTTTTGCCTAGGCAGACTTAAATATTAGAACAATGCTCAGCTCTTTGAGGCAGTGAGGAAGAACTTGGCTGTACTCGTTTTGCCTGGGATAGTTGATTACTTCACAGTAGCAGGTCTGGCGCTGTGCTCTGCATTTGTGACCAGTATTGGTAGCACAGGGATGTAGCTGTAGCTGAGCAGTGCTTGCACAGCAGCAAGCTCTCTTCTGCTTCTCACCCAGCCCCCCCAGCAAACAGGCTGGGGTGGTGCAAAAGGCTGGGAGGGGACACAGCTGGGACAGCAGCCCCACCATATGATGCTGTGCTCAGCAACAAAAGCTGGGGGAAGAAGGAGGAAGCGGGTGCCTGAAGCGGAGGCATCATGGAGCTATTAATTCAGCGTCCTGCCCCAGCTAACTAGCTCCGTGTCAGCAGGCTGACCTTCACTTACAGTCTCGGAGCAGCCTGGCCCCACATGGAGCCAAATATTTCTGCATGGCACCATATATTCCTGCGTAACCACACCTGATGACTCATGTACAACACCCCAGGAGAGAGCAATGAATCATGTGTAACAGTATGAAAAATGGCCCGGTGTGATTTGTGGCCTCTACCAGGTTCTGAGCAAGAAATCACGCTGCTGACGTGTATAATGTAACAGGAGACAAAAGTCTATTAAACGTGACACCCTGCCAGCAGCAGCTGACACTGTGCCAGGAGTAAGCCTAGAAATTCTTTGTAAAGCAGCACACTGGTTCTCATTCTATGAAGAAACTCAAGCACAGCAACCCTATCCTTTGTTAATCTGTGAATCCTGATAAGCGCTGGAGCTGGCCTAAGGAAGCTGTGAGTTCAACAGAAATGCTGTGTATGTGGGCATGCTGAAGAAGTAGCAGCATAGGTGAAAGGTACCAGAATGCTGAGGGCTTGGCTCTTGGTGTGGCAGGTTGGGGCACCAGCATACAAGGTTTAGAAAGGTGAGCACCACGGGTGGGGAGGGAAAGAGGGCCATGTCAGGAGGTGCATGGGAAGTGGCATGGCCATAAAAGACCAAAAGCAACAGCTTAACCCCCTGCTCCAGGCTGGGAAATGTGGGTGAACTGTTTGTTTACCAAACGAGGAGAGCATTGAACGTCATTCCTGGCATGTGGAGTAGGGAGATTACCCCATCTTGAGACCTGCAGGAGCCTTGGTGGAATCTCGGATTCCTGTGTAATGCAAGTTGTGATGTTAGTAACACCACAAAGTCACTTTATAAGCAAGCCGTAAAACAACACGTCTTTAGGGGCAGGAGCTCTCTCTCGCATGGCCTAGACTCAGGAAAGTCTTTAAGCTTGTAACCTCCAGCTACAATAATTACATTTTTACTGGGAAAGAATTTGAAGCCTAAATGTTTTGAGGGGAATTTCCAGTAGGTGAACACCGCTCCTGTTCTGCTCTTCCTAATTTCTTGTTGCCAAATGTGGCTGGCAGAGCATTACAGTCCTAAACCACCGAGCAAGAAGTGGAGGAAAGGCGCAGCAGCACTACCAAGGCACCAAGGAGTGTGGCTGTGGGCAGCGAAGGGGCACTGAACAAGTGATGTGATGGTGTGCAGGGTGACAAAGGGGCTGATGATGCCCTCCTCCTGCCCCCTGCCAGCAGCAGCATGCCAGGATCGAGTCCCCCATGCCTTCCCCCCATAGCCAGGAGAGAAGGGGGTCCACACCGAGGTGTTCCTGCTAAATCCTTACTTCCCTGCAAGACCGTTGCACACCCCATCTCCTGAGGCAGCTCTTTCTACCTGTGTTAATGTGGCACCATAGCAGAGCTTTCCATGGCTTACTAATTAACTTCCTCCCACCCCCGGGAACACCTAGCCACTCCCTTTGTCCTCACCTATCCCAGCCATTTATAGCAGCTATGGGATGCTAGAAATAGAGCCGTGTCCACTAAGAGCCCAGGAGCCTGTAGACAAAAGGAGTAGTGCAGTCAATTCACAAAGGAGGTATTCTCCAGCTCGCTGCAGTGAGGCAGCATGAAAAGCCCTGGGTGCACTTCAAGGTAAGGGAAGGGGGACGGGAACACTGTGGGTGCAGAATTAAGGTAGAAAGGTCTGGTCCGGGTAATCCCTGAGAGTTATTAATAACCTATAGAGTTAGTTACAGTTTGCTCCAGGGTGGAGGTTAATTTTGCTGTGATTCTTTCCTTCCTGTATTCCAAGTCTTTTAATTTGAAAGAACCTTATTGGGTCAACACACAGAACTGTTATTTTCAGCTTAAGCCAAATGAACCAGAAGGTTGTCCCAAGCCTTAAAGCATCCGTAGCAGCACCTCCAAGTGTGACCCGGGAGGTGGTTTTCCATGTTTTCTTCCCGGCTGCGAGATGACATGGGTTGGGAAGGGGAGTTGAACCTCTGGCACACCCCTGCTGATAGCTCCCCAAGGATTTTGGCTTCTAGGAAAAATTCTGTGTCTTGGCAATTGGCTCCCAAGTGCTTCCCCAAAGGTCTCCCAGGCTGTTGCGTGTCTTCCGTGCTTGGGTGGCTTTTGTGCAGTGTTTGAGTTGTGTCTTTCTCTCTTCACCTTTGCTTTGCAAAAGACTGTATGAATGTGCCAAAAAAGTAGATGCTGGCTCTGACCGTAGCCGGCGACTCCGGGCTGTGCCAGACTTCATGCACCCATGGTGAAATGCTATGTCGCTGTTGTGTGAGGAAGGAAGAAATCACTACAGCCATGATCCCATGCATCATGTCCTCCGTGTTCCTATCGGCAGGCTGGTGGTTATGAAATCCCTCTGCTTGTGGCTGTAACTGTGAAAGATCAGTTCTGTTTTCTGTAATGCCAGGTACTTCTCTGGTTCACCTTCAGTTTGTGCCTGTGAAAGCAGTACAATAGCTCTTAGACAAGTGGGACGTGTCTTTTCTGGAGGGCATTGAAGGATGGGGGGTGTTTCAGCCATCCTGAATAGGGTGTCTGTTGGCCCAACAAACAGATGTAGAGGTGGCTTAGTCAGAGACTTGTAATCTTATGACAAAGGTGTGTGTATGTGGCACTAACGGAACAGTGTTTAAGAGCAGTGCTGGCTCTCGCAGAGCTGTGCCAGGGCAGTGGGTGCAGAGCGGGTGGTGGAACCTCTTCTGCAGGTTTGCAGGACACACTGAAACCAGCAACAGGCTCTTGTGGGTGCAGCGGTGGGTGGCTGAGCCCCAGGGGTGATGGGGACAGGACCGGCTGCATGGGTGCACCAACCAGTACCTATGTACCTGCAGCCCCCTCCTCTCATCTCCCTCCAGGACCCACTTACCTGCACTCCTTCCTGGGGGTCACCTTGATCCCAGCCCTTGGCCCTTCTCCTGAACACTTCCACTGGTCTTTGCTGGGGGCAGTGGGGTGAAGGTGGCTGCAGTCCCCCCTCTTTCCCCATTCCCTGAGCACTCCCTGAGCTGGAAGGCAGGTATCCACCCATACATCCCCAGGCAGGGGAACAAGCACAATGCTACAGGGTAGTGTTGTTTGCCACCCTGGGACAAGAAGCCCTCCCATCAGTGACAGATGTTCCTTAGCTGCCTCCCAAGGTGAGAACCAGAAGCGCAGCCACCTCAGGGGAGTGCGTGGCTATAGTGGATCCTCCTGTACCCCTCTGGGGAAGCTGCATTTGTGGTTACCTCTCTGAAGTGCCTGTCACCAGCACATGCAGTGTGGGATATAAACAGGAAGAATTAGAGATCTGTGCGCAGTCACAGGGCCATGCTCTTATTGCAGTCACAGAGACATGGTGGGATAGCTCACATGCCTGGAGTGCAGTCACGGGTGGATATGTACTTATTAGGAAAGGCAGGCCAGCAAGGTGAGGTGGTGGAATTGCTCTTTGTGAGAGACAGCAACCGGAATGTGTTGAGCTCTGCCTAGGGGTGGAGCAGGTCCAGGGAAGGGCAATGGAGCTGGTGCAGGACCTGGAGCACAAGTGTGATGGGAACAGCTGAGGGACCTGGGGCGTTTAGTCTGGAGAAGGGAAGGCTCAGGGAGGACCTTATCGCTTTCTACAGCTACCTGAAAGGAGACTGTAGCGAGGTGGGGTCAGTCTCTTTTCCCAAGTAACAAGTGATAGGACAAGAGGAAACACAGCCTCAAGCTGCATCAGGGGAGGTTTAGATTGGATATTAGGAAAAACTTCTTTACCAAAATGATGCTCAGGCATTGGAACAGGCTGCTCAGGGAATGGTGGAATCACCGTCCCTGGAAGTGTTCGAAAAACGTGTAGATGAGGCCCTCAGTGCCATGGTTTAGTGGTGGCCTTGGCAGTCCTGGAATAATGGCTGGACTTGATGATCTTTTCCAGCCTAGTTGATTCTGTGATCATATGATTCTATAAGAATAAGTTGAGAGTTTGGGAGATGGTGGTGTTCAGGATATTGCATGGAAGAAGCAGGGCAGTAAGTAGGTTTGCGACCCTGGACTTCAGGAAGGTAAACTTTGGCCTCTTCAAGGACCTACTTGGAGGAATCCCATGGGTCAGGGCTCTGGAAGGGACAGCCCACTTGGGATGAATATATGAACACTTTTCTGCAGTGCCATCATAGTGTTACAGCATCGTTGCCTGGCTCCATGCTTCCACTGTGTGCACCTTTGGCTTGTGGCCCCCCAGTTGCAGCTGGTGCAGCTTGTTATGATGGCTGTGGGTTTATGTGCAGCTCTTTGTTCTGATGGGCTTTGCTCCAATCCTCTCTCTAGTTTTCCATGGCCAGGTACCATGAAAAGTGCATGGGAGGCTGTAGACCATGTCCCGTGAAACTGGTGGTTACATCCATGTCAGGCCAACACGAGGAGCGATTCAGTGTCTTTCACATTGTACAAGCTGTGGGATATGGAAGCCACCGCTCTGTGCAGCAGGACCATGTGTGAGGATCCTTAGCCAGAAGGACAGTAGAAAGGACCACCAGGTCCAGCCTGCAGCAAGCCGTGTGCCCCTATTGACCCTTGGACTGGGCAGGCTTGGAGCCTTCCTCACTTCCTTGGGAGAGCGGGAGCCATGAGTTTGACCATCCCATGCTATAAATGGGAGTACATCTTCTCAAAACACCCAAAAGCCCAAGCCAGATCTGCTGCATTTTGGAATTTTCTAGTGAATAACCGAGAAGTTTCAACAGTGAATGAGATCTGGAGCCACAGAGAGCTAAAAGAAAGGCAAAATAAAAGGCAGCAGGGCAGAGCCAGAAGCTGTTGGAAGCGCTCAGGCTCTGCCTGTAGTAGCCTGTGTCTTGCCAAAGGCCAAAACTTGAAGAGTGATGGTGAAAGAGCAATTTCTCACTGTCCTGCCTCTAATGCAGAGCTGCTCACACAGCTGAGGGAGCAAAAGGAGGTATAAAATTGTGCTCCCCATGATGAACATTCCCAAGCTCAATCAGTGGCACTGGGTGGCTCACACTCAGGAGGCACTATCACATAAAAATCCATTGAAACTCTCCTTTCTCTCCAGGCATACCAAATGTCTCGTCGTTATCAGCCTTTGCCTGGGACTGATCTTCCTGTCGGGATTCTTCCGGATGAAGAATAAAGACTACACGTAAGTGAAGTGGAAGCAAGGTTGTGTGACTTCATCTGCACAGGGCAGAAAGGGTCTGACCCGTGGCACTTGATTTTAACACATGGGTTTTAGGCTAATAATGTAAGGGCAGTGGCCCAAAGTTATGTCCTAGATCCACATTTGGGTGGCAAGGGATGAAATTAGTCAGAGTGCAGCTTTCTGGGGCAAAATCAGCCATATGGAAAAAGAAAAGGGGATCAAGCTGAAGCTTTCGGGTGGGAAGCTGGAGAAGCAGAAAACAGTCTGATATCTATGCCTGAGGGATGGGGCTTATTTAGGTGGGTGCCTTGCCCCAGATGCAGGTGTGGTATCAGAAGAACCTGCTCAGGCTTGGCTATGTCATGTCCCAGAGATGGGGTATGGCACTGCAGGGGCTGTTTTCCCTACCTGTTGCCTTCCTGCAGAATCTCAAAGGTCCACAAGGAACTGCTGATCCCTTTCATGCCTTGCCGTGCCAAGACTAATGTCATGTTCCTCAAAACCCACAAGACAGCCAGCAGCACCGTCCTGAACATCATGTTCAGGTTCGCAGAGAGGTACAACCTCACCGTCGCGCTGCCAGCTGACCAGCTTGTCCACCTGGGCTACCCAAACACCTTCCTGGCCCACTTTGTGGAGGAATTCCAAGCCATAGGACGAAACTATAACATCATGTGCAACCACCTGCGGTTTAACCCCTCCGAGGTAAGGAAGGGCCACAGCACCTGCGGAGAAACCCAGTTCAACAAGCAGGGCCTCCAGACTAACAGGCGGAAGTCATTGCTAGACCACTCTCCATCATCTTTACCAAGTCTTGGGAAACGGGAGAGGTGCCTGAGGACTGGAGGAAAGCAAATGTCACTCCAGTCTTCAAAAAGGGCAAGAAGGAGGACCCGGGTAACTACAGACCGGTCAGCCTCACCTCCATCCCTGGGAAAGTGATGGAACACCTTATCCTTGGTGCCATCTTAAGGCATATCAAGGATAAGAGGGTTATGAGGGGCAGTCAACATGGGTTCACCAAGGGGAAATCATGCTTGACCAATCTCTTAGCCTTTTATAAGGAAATAACATGGTGGATGGATGATGGCAGAGTGGTGGATGTAGTCTACCTTGACTTCAGCAAAGCATTTGACACAGTCTCCCCCAGCATCCTCACAGCTAAATTGAGGAAGTGTGGACTGGATGATCAGGTAGTGAGGTGGACTGTGAACTGGCTGAAGGAGAGAAGCCAGAGAGTTGTAGTCTATGGGGCTGAGTCTAATTGGAGGCCTGTAACTAGTGGAGTGCCTCAAGGGTCAGTACTGGGACCAGTATTATTTAATATATTCATCAATGATTTAGATGAGGGAATTGAGTGAACTATCAGCAAGTTTGCTGATGACACTAAGCTGGGAGGAGTGGCTGACACGCCAGAAGGCTGTGCTGCCATCCAGCGAGACCTGGACAGGCTGGAGAGTTGGGCAGGGAATAACTTGATGAAATATAGCAAGGGAAAGTGTAGAGTCCTGCATCTGGGCAGGAGCAACCCCAGGTTCCAGTATAGGTTGGGAAACGACCTGTTAGAGAGCAGTGTAGGGGAGAGGGACCTGGGGGTCCTAGTGGACGACAGGATCACCATGAGCCAACACTGTGCCCTTGTGGCTAAGTAGGCCAATGGCATCCTGGGGTGTATTAGAAGGGGGATGGTTAGTAGGTCGAGAGAGGTCCTCCTTCCCCTCTACTCTGCCCTGGTGAGACCCCATCTGGAATATTGTGTCCAGTTCTGGGCCCCTCAGTTCAAGAAGGACAGGGAGCTGCTGGAGAGAGTCCAGCGCAGGGCAACGAAGATGATTAAGGTAGTGGAGCATCTCCCTTATGAGGAAAGACTGAGGGATCTGGGTCTCTATAGTTTGGAGAAGAGGAGACTGAGGGGTGACCTTATCAGTGTCTATAAATATATAAAGGGGGAGTGTCACGAGGACGGAGCCAGGCTCTACTCAGTGGCAAACAATGATAGGACAAGGGGTAATGGGTACAAACTGGAACACAAGAGGTTCCACTTAAACTTGAGAAGAAACTTCTTCTCAGTGAGGGTGACGGAACACTGGAACAGGCTGCCCAGGGAGGTCGTGGAGTCTCCTTCCCTGGAGACATTCAAAACCCGCCTGGACACATTCCTGTGTAACACTATCTAGGTGTTCCTGCTCCGGCAGGGGGATTGGACTAGATGATCTTTTGAGGTCCCTTCCAATCTCTAACATACTGTGATACTGTGATACTAACAGCCTCTCTTCTTCCTCCCGGCAAACAGGTGCAAAAGGTGATGGCAGCAAACACTTTCTACTTCTCCATCCTGAGGAACCCCATTCCTCTGCTGGAGTCTTCCTACATCTACTACAAGGACACTGTCCCTGCCTTCAGGATCTCCAAGGACGTGAATGAATACCTGGCGTCACCCATGAAGTATTACTATCCAGCGGATTACAAGCGAAACATCTATGCCAGGAATATCATGTGGTTTGACTTTGGCTATGACAACAATGCAGAGGACAACAAAAAGTACATTCAGGCAGTCTTGAAGGAGATTGAACAGAACTTCCACCTGATCTTGATAGCAGAATACTTTGATGAGTCCATGATCCTCTTGAAGCACACTTTGTGCTGGGATCTGGATGATGTGGTTTACTTTAAGCTCAATTCCAGAAGCCAGGACACTGTCCAGACCTTGACTCCAGAAAGCGAGGAGCAGATAAAAGCATGGTGCTCACTAGACTGGAAGCTCTACCTGCACTTCAACCAGAGCTTCTGGAGGAGAATTGAGGAGACTATAGGCCTTGAGGAGCTGGAGAAGGAGGTGAGTCGCCTGCGAATGAGACAGAAGGAGCTCATGGAGACCTGTCTCTCAGACCAGGAGGCAGTGGGGAAGGATCACATCAAGAACAAAGCTCTCCTGCCTTTCCAGTCAGGGGATGCAAATATCCTTGGGTATAACCTCAAACAAGACTTAGACAACAGGACACTGAGAACCTGCCAGAAAATGGTAATGCCAGAGCTCCAGTACACATCCTATCTTTACGCTGCCCAACACCCGCACAAGAAGAGGAAGCAGTTAGGCTTGCCCTTGCTGTGGACCACTTTCCAGGAGAAGATGCAGCCCCCAACTCCCAACTAGGGCATGTGACAACCCACTGCAGTTTCCCACCCCTTCGCGTCACCCCATGTCTGGCACATGACTGGTCCACAAGGCTCTTGCACAAGAGAGAGGCAGGAGAGGGCTTTGTTCAGGGCCACCAAACTGGTGGTGGGTCCCTTTTTGGGGATGTTGAGCCCAAGGCTCTGCATTGTCCAGATCCTGCATGATGCCTGTTGCCAGGCAGGGGGACAGCCTGCTGCTGCTGCATGCCGGGCGGGCTTTCAGCTGGCTTAGACATTCCTGCCTCTTAATCATTAATCACTTAATCATTTTGTTTGCATTTGACTTTGTTTAATAGCTGCCATTTCATGCAGACTGGTCACAGCTCACTAGAGCAAGACCTGGTTTGGGGCATTTAGGGGAAAAAAGGGGATGGGGAGGGAAACGAGGAGGAGAGAGTGATGAGGGATGCAGTGCTCAGAGGAGTAGAGGAGATACTGGGTGTCCTGTCCAGCATCCATGCTCAGTGACATCAAACCACCATGCGATGCCAGTGCTGCTCTTTGGATGAGAGTCACAAGCATCATGCCCAAAGCTGGGTGTGCTGCCTTTCAGCCTTTCCCCACCAGCACATGAGACGTCGTTTTTCATGTGTGTCATGGGGTGTGTGGGGACTCTGCACCACCTGAGACAGCTTGGTGCTCCCCTGGGAGCAACATTCGGGGTTTCACCCCACTCCCTTGGACAAGGGTCCCCAGTCCCTGGGCATGGACGGTCCCTTGGGCTCAGCATCCCTGAGGCCCTTGATCAGCAGAGGCTTCGTTGCTGACAAAGGGATTCCCCATTGCCCCCACCACTCTCCAGCACTGATGAGGAGTGGGATGGAGGGAGACATAGCTGTAGGCACAGCAGTCACACCATCCAGGTCCTGCAGCTGCCCTGACCAGTGTGAGCAGGAGGAGATGCTGGCTGAGCTTTGAAATACAGCACCACTGGCAATCATTAATGGCCATGACGCCAAAGCCACTGGGCTTGGTGCTGCCCTTCTGACAGGCCTTCCCAGTGCTGTTGCAGTACTGGGACCTGGATGGCAAGAGGGGGATGATGATCCAGGATCCCTTGGCTTGCAGCTTCGCTGCAGGGAGAGATGCTGTCAGAGAGAGTGGTTTGAGAAGCAGAGCAGGGATTTCTCTTGGCTGTTTCAACCCTGGAGGTAGTCGAGGGAGCCAGCCGAGGCAAGGGTTAACTGCCTGCAGTGCAACCTGTGTTCCTCTCAAGCCATGTGCACAAGCAGAGCAGCACTTTCTTGGTTTTCTGCTCCAGCAACCTGAGATTAAATTAACCAGGCATTTATAACTACCTGGGGTGGAGGAGACGGCCGCTGCATGCGTTCAGCCTGGGCAATCCCTGAGGGCCTGTCCTGGCCAATTCTGCAGCCTGAGTCTGGGTTTTACCTTGAAGCCTCTGACCCATGACTGCCATGTGCATGTTGTTAAGCCACTTTGGCTGAGCCGATGCCTGTGGTGGAATATAAGCATAGAAATAATTGCTTAACAGCTGACCTGTGGTGGGAGTCCTGGGAAGGCTGGGACCCTCCAGCCCACAGGCTGGGGAGCTCACAGCTGTGGTGGCCCATGGTGAACATGGGTTCCAGGACCTGGGCAGGGAGCTCCAGCCTCTCCCAGCCTGTGGGAGGGGGAAAATCATTGAATCATGAAATGGTTTGGTTTGGAAGGGACCTTAAAGCTCATCCAGTTCCAGCCCCCTGCCATGCGCAGGGACACCTTCCACTAGACCAGGTTGCTCCAAGGCCCGTCCAACCTGGCCTTGAACACTGCCAGGGATGGGCAGCCACAGCTTCTCTGGGCAACCTGTGCCAGGGCCTCACCACCCTCACAGGGAAGAATTTCTGCCTAATGTCTAACCTAAATCTCCCTTCTGTCAGCCCAAAGCCATTCCCCCTTGTCCTGTCACTGCAGGCCCTTGTAGAAAGTTCCTCTCCAGATTTCCTGTTGGCCCCTTTAGGCACTGGAAGCTGCTCTAAGGTCTCCCTGGAGCCTTCCCTTCTTCAGGCTGAACAAGCCCAGCTCTCTCAGCCTGGCTCCATAGCAGAGGTGCTCCAGCCCTCAGAGCATCTTTGTGGCCTCTTCTGGACTCACTCAAGCAGCTCCAGATCCCTCTTGTGTTGGGGCCACAGAGCTGGGCACAGGACTGCGGGGGGGCTTCAACAGAGCAGAGCAGAGGGGCGGGATCCCCTCCCTCGACCTGCTGGTCAGGCTCCTGGTGTTGCAGCCCAGGGCACGGTTGGTTTCTGGGCTGTGAGCGCACTGCTGTGCTGCTGGGAACTGCAAACACCCCCCATGGCCCCCTCTGCATCCCCCGGGGGCTCCAGCCAAGGTGGTTTGGCAGCTTCAGGGCTCCAGCTCTGCCCAGGGTCCATAACGGTGCCTTTGTGCGGCGGGTGCTGCATGAGCGACTGCCACTGCTGACTCAGGGGTTTTTCCAAGCCACTGTGGGAGCCCTGTGACCCATCGCTGGGGGGACCCTGCGGGCTGGGAAGGGGGGAGCAAAGCAGCAAGGCAACAGGCTCCGCAGAAAGCTGCCTGCTGCCGGAGCTGGTGTTACCCTGTGGTGTGTCTGGGACAGAGGGGATCCGCAGCTGAGCAGGACCCGGTGAGTGCCTTCGCTTTTAATGTGAGGTGTTTGATTGGCTGTAGCTCCTAATTAAATCACAGGTGAAAGTCACCCTCAGCTGCTCCGGCTTCGCCCTGGAGGGGGATGCCCATCTATCTCCTCCCGTGGTGGTAACCTGGGGCACGCAGGGACATGTAACTTTGGGACAGCTGACTGTGGTGGCGCTCCTGCTGTCAGCATAGAACCACAGAATGGTTTGGGTTGGAAGGGACCTTAAATCTCACCCAGCTCCAACCCCCTGCCACACTCAGGGACACCTTCCATTAGACCAGGTTGCTCCAAGCCCCATCCAGCCTGGCCTTGAACACTGCCAGGGATGGATGACCTTGAAGATCTATTTTGTTTTGTTTTGGGGTAGCCCAGGTCAGCCTCTTCAGTGCTACTCAAAATCCTGTGCCCCCTTTGAACAGCGGTGATTTGCCACCGCAGCAGCACACGTTCAGCTCTCTCAACCCCAACCTTGCCTGTAGCCACCAGCCCTCCAGCCCATGCTCTCAGGGGGTTCCCCAAACCACCGAGTTTTCCTCAAGTTAAAACCCTAACCCCCTCCAAGGGCAATCCAGTCCCAGCCACAACCACAGCTGTGCCTAGCAGCTGGTGTCCCGCCTTCATCAACCCGCTGTGGTCGGGCCACATCTTTGTGCTGCAGATGCCATGGGCTCCCGGCACTTCCCCGCCCGCACCGTGCTCTTTGAGAAGGAGTCCAACGGTGTCACGTACCGTGTGCCCGCCTTGCTCTACCTGCCCTGCGTGGCCAAGCTGCTGGCGTTCGCGGAGGAGCGGCTGAGCGCGGACGATGCCCACGCCAACCTGCTGGTGCTGCGCCGTGGCTCCATCTATGGCAGCTACGTGGAGGTGGGATGAGGGATGCCCTGGGGTTGCAGAGGGCACAGGCGGCTGTCCTCCATTGCTTGTGCCTCGCATGGCTGAGCTCCTGGAGGCAGCCACAATGGGGAGGGGAGACTGGGCTGGGTGAAGTGGAGTGGTCCTCATCCCTCTCCATGCTCTCCTCCTCCCCCTCGAGCAGTGGGAAGACATGCGTGTGCTGGAGACGGCTACGCTGCAGCACCACCGCTCAATGAACCCCTGCCCGCTCTATGATGAGTTCACCGGCACCCTCTTCCTTTTCTTCATCACGGTGCTGGGCAGGACACCCGAAGCCTACCAGATTGTCACTGGCCAAAACGTCACCCGCCTCTGCTGCGTCACCAGCACTGACCAGGGACTGAGCTGGAGCAAAGCCACGGACCTGACACAGCAGGTCATTGGTGGGGCCATCAAAGGTAGTGCACTGGAGTGGGGCATGAAGAGGGGAGAACATAAGGGCAATCATGGGGGGTTTTGGTCTCCTGGATGCATCCATTGTGTGGCTGGAAGTGGCCTCAGAGTAGGAAGCCCGCAGGCATCAAAGAGGTGGGGTGGAAAAGGATCTCAAGCAGAGGGGGGCTGAGATGGAGGGAGCACCTGTCTCATTTGCATGGAGGAAAAGATGGAGAGGCCCAGTAGCTACGAGCAGGACAAAGAGAGCTCTGATGCCTCCCACCCCACCACCTTGCTTAGCTAGGCTGGGAGGGATGCTACGGTGAACTTTCCACACTGGGCATGGCAGGAGCACCCTTCAACCACATCCCATCTCCTCTCCCTAGACTGGGCAACGTTCGCACTGGGCCCTGGGCACGGGATCCAGCTGCGGTCAGGCCGGCTGCTGGTGCCTGCCTACAGCTACCACATCGACTGCAAGGAGTGCTTCGGACAGCTCTGCAAGACCACCCCTCACTCCTTCGCCTTCTACAGCGATGACCACGGCCAAGGCTGGCGCTTTGGGGAGTTCATCCCCAACCTGCAAACAGGCGAGTGCCAGCTGGTCTCGGTGGATGAGGAGGATGGCTCCAACGTCCTCTACTGCAACGCCCGCAGCCCCCTGGGCTTCAGGGTCCAAGCACTCAGCACGGATGATGGGGCTGTCTTCCACGGGGGTCAGCTGGTGCAGCGGCTGGTGGAGCCCCCCCATGGCTGTCACGGCAGCGTTGTCGGCTTCCCTGCACCTTTTGTCTATGTCCCTGCTACCCCTCGGGACCCCGTGATGCCCATCCGGGGCTCAGCTTCCCAAACGCTCCCTGGGATACTCCCTGGGATACTCCCAGGGTTTCGGTACCTGCCTGCTGGGCGGGCTGCAGGTGATGAGCTGTCTGCAGTGGCCACCAGCAGCCATCAGGAGCCAGCTGAGCCTAAGGAGGGCTGTCCTATCCCAGGGCATCACGGCCATGTTCATGGCAACACCTTGGTCCAAAGGGACCCCGTGGTGACCCCCAGCCCCACTGGCTTCTTCCAAGCACCCACATGGATCCTCTACTCCCACCCCACCAGCTCCATGTCACGGGTCAACATGGGGGTTCACCTGAGCACCTTCCCCAGGGATGTGGAGAGCTGGACTGAGCCATGGGTCATCTACGAGGGCCCAAGTGCTTACTCAGACCTGGCTTACATGGAGCTGCCCTACAACGAGGCCCCCATCGCTGGTGGCCCAGCCATTGCCTTCGCCTGCCTCTATGAGAACGGGACACGGTCGCCCTATGAGCAGATCTCCTTCAGCATGTTCACACTGCATGATGTGCTCCAGAACATCCCCCTGACAGCCACTGGTTCCCAGCGGGACAGCAGCTCCCCACACTGCAGGAAGCAGGGGAGAAGGAGCTGTCTTGTCTCTTAGTGCCCCCCAAGGTCGGCTCCTCCGAGTCCCTCAGCACCATCCCCAGGGCACCAACCTAGAGACCAGCACACTGGGATGCTCACAGGATTCCTGCCTTCAGCCATCATGGCTGCATCACACAGAAGGCATGTGTTACCATCCTCAAACTGGGGTTTAGCTGGGTTTTATTACTGGTTTTAATTACTGTAGTTGGTTGGGCATGGAGGCTCCTGCCACCAGCCCAGTCCTGGGCTCCTTTCCATTGATAACACAGGGATGTTGTTATTGCTGAGCAGTGCTTACACAGACCTGCTCCTCAGCTCACCCCACCAGTGAGCAGTCTGGGGGTGCGCAAGATGTTGGGAGGGGACACAGGCAGGACACCTGACCATAACTGACCCAAGGGATATCCCATTCCATATGGCTGGTGGTGAGCAACTGTTTTCATTTGCGTTCCTTGTCTTTCTTGGGTTTTATTTCTTTCTCTTTGATATTTTCCTTTTCACTACAATTAGTTATTACTTGGCATTATTATCCTTTTATTTCAATTATTAAACTGCCCTTATCTCCACCAGCAAGTTCTCTGCCTTTTACCTTCTGATAAGCCACGACAATCCCCCATTTACTGTTTCACCTGGCTCACTGCTTGGCTTCTTTAAACTAGGTTGATCATTGCTACTTTCTTCTGAACCTCATCAGTTTTGGGGCCACTGTCGTCCCAGCACAGGCAGGTTCAGGTCTGTGTCCCTGTAAAGGTTTAGGGGACAAGGGCGAACGGAGGGGATGCTGAAGCTGGTGACACCCGTGGGAGGTGCAGTGATGGGTCATGAGCCAGTGGGGATAAAAAGCTGCTCCTTTCATTTGCTGCGTGTGTGTGTGTGTGTGTGCACGCGCGTGTATGGGTGAACTTTGGGCTACACCTCAATTACACCACTGCCTCCCACAGCACAACTCCATCCGAGTTCCCAGCCCCAGCCAGAGCCTGGCTCAGCTATTTGTGTCTCCTTCACCTAAATACAGACCGATTAATGAAGATGAGTTAATGCTCCAGCTCTTACCACTACAAACACTACCGTGTCCCGTTTTGCACTGAGGTGAGTGGAGGCTGATGATGAGCAGCTGGGGAAGCCATTGGGCTCCTGCCAGAACGCCAGGGGCCAGGTCCTCACCTCTATGGCTCACTGGGCTGGTTTACACCCCCACATGGCTGCCAGCCCCATCAGCACCCCCAGGGAGGAGGAAGGGGTATCGTGCAGGCAGAGGGCTCTGCACAGAGGCAGCCCTTTGCATGCCAACCTCATGCAGGGTGGGGTGTCTGTTCCTCATGGGGGACTCTTCTTCCCATCACAAAAGCCACAGAGGCAGCCAAGGCAACCGTTGAGGATCTGGAAGGATGCCAGTACCATCTCAGCAGCACTGATGAGCAGCAGGATGGAGAAGAAGACAACATTCCAGGCCACGATACCCTCTGGCTCCAGGCAGGTGCTCCAGGTGCGACGATCATATAGGTAGTTCTCTGTCCTGAGTGACGGGGAGAGGAGGAGATGTAAGAACCTGCCCTGCGGCAGGTCAGGAATTACATCACTTTCTGCTGTGGAGGTATGTTCTATCCTTCATCCCAGGGATGAGCAAGGTCAGCAGGGTGATGAGGATAGGAAGCACAATGTAGAAAGCCATGAACAGTGAGGACTTCTTGAGCTATAGGGATCTTGCAATCATAGAATTGTTTGAATTGGAAAGGACCTTAAAGCTCATCCAGTTCCAACCCCCTGCCACAGGCAAGGACACCTTCCACTAGACCAGGTTGCTCCAAGCTCCGTCCACCCTGGCCTTGAACACTGCCAGGGATGGGGCAGCCACAGCTTCTCTGGGCAACCTGTGCCAGTGCCTCACCACTCAGTGAAGGAGCTGAGGTGCTGGCACAGGGAAGAATTTCTCCCTAGTATCTAACCTAAATCTCCCCTCTCTCAGCCCAAAGCCATTCCCCCTTGTCCTGTCAATGCAGGCCCTTGTCAAAAGTCCCTCTCCAGATTTCCTGTAGGCCCCTTTAGGGACTGGAAGCTGCTCTAAGGTCTCCCTGGACCCTTCTCTTCTCCAGGCTGAACAAGCCCAGCTCTCTCAGCCTGTCTCCATAGCAGAGCTGCTCCAGCCCTTGGAGCATCTTTGTGGCCTCCTCTGGACTGTCTCCAGCAGCTCCACATCCCTCTTGTGCTGGGGGCCCCAGATCTGGACACAGGACTGCAGGGGGGTCTCACAAGAGCAGAGTAGAAGTGGAGAATCCCCTCCCTCGACCTGCTGGCCACACTCCTTGTGATGCAGCCCAGGACACGGTTGGTTTCTTGTCAAATCGTATCAACCAACACCCCAAGTCCTTCCCCTCAGGGCTGCAATCACCTCTAGCAAACCCACCCACCAAAGTAACACCAGCCTCATTAGCAATAAGCTGACGAGGCATCACCTCCACTCATCTGCACTGCCTCACCTGGCATCAGGCTCCTGGCTGCCAGTGTCCAGGAAGGGGTAACCCCAGATGGTGCCATGCCTGTGGCCATGCTCGGAGGCATTGTAGAAGCAAAAGGGTCCATTGGTCAAACCCACCCCAGAGAAGATGAAACAGGCAGCAGCACCCAGCAGGGCCAGCTTGGAGAGCACAGCCGAGATGAAAGCCTGTAGACAGCAACCAGGGACACAACACACTGAAAGTCAGGTGGGCTCCAAATGCAGCTTCACGTTATCGGTGGAGTTTGGCAAGGGGGCACAACTCTCCTTCCCTTCACCCCAAGGGGCTCCAGGCCTGAGGATCTGAGGCTGAGGATGAAGTAGTCACTGAGTTGTTTAAGCTGGGCAGAAGCAGGCAGGGAACAGGGCAGGGAGCTGCCATGTGGAGCCTATGATAGCATGAACAGGAAACTCTGTCCTCTGAGGAGGTAGCACCATGCAGGATCTCACCCCAGGTCCATGGGAGAGGGGCCCCTTGCCACAAACTCCCTTTGGAGAGGGGCCATCTACCACATCCCACCATGGGGCCATGGGAGAGGAGGATCCATGCCATGTCCCACTATGGCAGAGCTGCCACCCACACTGGGGCCAGCCTCCACACCCCACCACGCTCTGGAGGTCCCAGTGCTGCCTTACATTGCGACGGGTGCCGCAGTCGGAGCAGCCGGCACATCGCCACCCCACCGCCGTGATGTGGGTCCCTGCCAGCAGCACCTGCAGGAAGGAAAACGTGGCTGGGGGATAAAGGGAAGCCACCAGCTCCATGCCTTTGTCCCTGCTCCACAGACACGAGGAAGGACTCGGTGCAAGCTCCTGTACTCACGATGATGCCGCCTCCCCAGACACCCGGCATGGCCTTGGCATGTTTGCTGATGTGCCCCTCCACCAGGTACTTCGATGCCCCTCCAGGGAAGAGCAGGAGCATGTTGGCTGCCACGGAGAGCATGCCCAGCACCAGCAGGCAGGGACCCACGATCCGGCTGCATGTCCCTATGCACATGGCCACCCTGCATGGGGATAGGGAGGAGGAGAGGAACGGGTTGCATTCACAGGGCTGGAGCACCTCTGCTATGGAGACAGGCTGAGAGGACTGGGGTTGTTCAGCCTGGAGAAGGCTCCACAGAGACCAACCACCCCAGCTTGGTTTGACTTAGACAGCTTACAACAACCAGGAGGGAGCCAGGCAACAGACAAAATCCTTGGGCGAGGACTTGTGAAAGCACATCAGTCTGCAATCAAATCCAACAGCAACTCCATCCCACACTAGTCCTACTGTAGATCTGAACATGCTGACACCAACTAAAGTTAACTAAGCAAAGGGCATCACCTGTCCTCAGGCAGCCACCCAGCTCCACTGTTCCAGTTCACCTGGAAAGTGCCCTTCCATCTCCTGGTGATACCTTGTCAAAAATCACCTCTCTCTCTCCTGTACCTGCAACACCACCTGGGGGATGTCCATCAGCTGCTCTGGGATCACTGAAAACAACCTGGTTTTTCTCTTTCCTGGCTCCCCAGGTTTCTTCTGCCCTGTGTGCATTTTTGCTTCACATGGGTTTCATGCACCTTCCCCTTTCCCAGTGGCTTGCAGCTTGTCTTGCACAAGCTCTCTAAGCCGAGCTGGCTAATGCAGCTATTTCAGGCTTGCTCTGGCTTTGCAGAAGTGGAAGTGAACAGGCGCCATATGGAAGAGCTGCCTCAGCTCCCCTCCTGCAGAGCAGCATCAGTGTCAGGGGGGAGCAGTTCAGGCTGCATGTCCAGCCCCTGCATGGCCTGAGAGGCTGGGGAACACCAGCACTGTGGGGCTTTGCCTTGCTGCAACCTGCCAGAGACCTGCCACAGCAGCCCCGGCCAGCTGCTGGGGTCCAGGAAGAGCTGATCATGGAGGAACAGGGCCACAAGACCCTGCTTCATAGAAAGAACACAAACCAAGAAGCCCAAGGTGGACCACCAGCTCCGCTCATCCTGGAGCTTCACCTCCTCCCTGCTTTCTATCCTCCCTGCCTTGGTTATAATGAATATTGGGCCTCTTGCCCTCACTATGGTCCAACTTGCAGCCCCCTGAGCATCCAGTGCTGAGTCCCGCCTCCCTACTTTGGAGAAACTTCCAATGTAGAAGGTTCCAGAAAAGCTCTTGAGCTCACAGCATGGGCTGCTCTCATCAGCAAGAGGCTCCTATGGTCTTCTGCAAGTCTCCCCTTATTCTCCTTGCCCATCACTGGCTTTCCCTAGGAAAGCAGGAGGTCTTCCCCCAGAAAGCTCTCCATGGCTTGCTGTCCCTCATAACGCACCCCTTGCACCAGAAGGGAGTTTGCATTAAGCTGCTTTCTTCTACCTCAACAAATACAGACAGACAAACCCCTCTCTAAGGGGAAGTAAAGCAAAAATGCAGCTGAACAGTCTCTTGTTGGGACACTTGAAATCAAGCCCCTTCCTGCCAGCATGTCTCCATAGCCAAAAGCAACGGGATTCAAGCAAAGCAAGGAGGACCTTACCTGGAAGTGGTGGAACCAGCAGCATCCACCGCTTGATGAGCCCTGTCCTGGAGGCATCATCTGTGGGTGACTATTTATGGATGTCCCAGTGTCCTCCTCCGCCCCAAGGTCCACCCACCACACCAGTCACGGTCTTCTCATCTCCCACACAGGCAGCAGCTCTAA